GTTTACTGGGCCTCTGTCAGTGACGTGTGAGTGGAGAGGGGACATCAGGCCGGTGAAATCATGCAGCTGTTAGGGACAGCTTTGAGGGCAGGCCAGGCTTCTTTTATGAACCCACGCCACTGTTCATCTCCTTGGTAAATGCTTTATAAAGAAGGGAACACATTTTTTTAACAAAAACAAGGAAGCTTAGTTTTCCTCAGAGTTGTGTAGAAAAAAACATCTTCGTATGAAAAGTAATAATCTCATGATTTCATTCTATCTTATACACATTTCGAAAGTGAATATTCACAAATGTTCTTTATAACTATAATATGAATAGTTAAAGGGTGTTTTTTAGGAGGGTCTCTATAAAAAGACACGATCGCCTTTGGTTTGTCCTAAGAAAGAACTAAAAGAATTCGACTATGCTTGGCTTCAAAGCTGCATTTCCATAATTGCCCTGTAACTCGGGTCTGTCTGCAGGAGCTGAAGGAGGATTCAAAAAGCACAATCTTTCAGCTGGGTGAACAGCAAAAAATCCAACGCCTCTCCCTCTGGCCTGTCGGCCTGTGGCCCCCTTTCCCCACTTGTTGGCTTTTGGATCTAGTGACAGAATTCCCCTCTCTAACCTCCATCAACAAAAGGCATGAAATCTGTGCCCTCCCTTCCTCCCTCTTGCTTTGGCCCCAGAGAATGTCACTCCTCCAGGGTCTTTTGTCCTTTGCTCAGCCCAAAGAAACACAACGACTGCTCTCTCCGTGGCTATTCTTTAACATATTGCTGCTGCACTTTCACTTCCATTCTCAATAATGAATATGCCATAAAACATGCAGGAGACACCAAAGTTGCATATCTTTGGCACCGCGGTTTAGCCACCTTCTCCTTTTCCCGGCTCTAGAGTGTGACCACTGTAACAGGCTGCCGCTGAGTGCTGCGGCCTGGTGTAAGCCTGTGTATGAAGGCATGTGGTGTGTGTGGGACATGTGTTTCTGAGAGTGGATCTCTGCTCCTCCCGCGGTCAGACAACACACAGGCCCAGTGCTCGGAAAAGGGCAACCCCTCTCTTGGCCTGGGCAAGCACAGAGAGCGGGCGTGGTCAACAGTGGCTCATAAAGGGATTACTTCACCGCACAAAGACAGTGGGCTGCTTTTGAACCCGGCCAGGTCCACAAAGGGAGATGACATTTGTCTGTCTCACTGGCAGGAGGAGGTGTGGCGGAATGGTCCTGGCTTGGGATAGGAGGAGGAGGATGAGAGTGAGAAGGAGGAGGTAGCACCAGTGGAGTTGCCCCAGTGACAGAAGGGGTGCACAAGGTGAAAAAAGCAGGGGTGACCCTCTTTATTTGCAGCGGCCTCCTTTTTTACAGGGCACCCCTGGCCCCCCTTCACTGGGCTGCTCCAGTGTTTATTTACTCCATGGTTTCTTCCCATTCAAATATGCTCCTCTGATGGCTCCATTGGCCAGAGCCTTTCAGCCGCCTGGCACTGCTGTCCACCCTCTCCAGGATCAATGGACACTTTGAGAGATGGATTAAATTTCCTGTTAATGATTTAATCTTTCTCAGATGCAGTGCACTTTCTGACAGTGCATTACATTCTGCATTACTTCAGTGCAGAGTTTTTTGAAAATAAATAAATAAAATTAAAAAAAAAACAAGTTAATGTAATTATATCTAAAATAAAGCTCAAAAGAATGTTCATGTGTTACGGCATTCGGGGCAAATAACTGTGTACTAATTGAACAGTTCCAACAAAATGTGTTACTTTAAACTGTGGTAATTTAGAGAAAAATCTGCTTTTGCTTCTAAGTGGCATTTTTAAATCTACTTTCTAATTGTTTACAATATTTTTTTCCAGTTTATTAACTACGTTTTTTGCTTTTTATTTTACACATTTGAGAACTGCTTGAGAAATAATTAGTGGAGTTAATGTCAGAAATTTCTCAGAAGAACTAAAAACTTGAAAACATTAACATAAAATGTTTAATTCAAAAGAAATGTCTTTGTGAAATGAAATATATTAACATATATATGTATATTCACATTTTTACGTAGACCCTATATATCACATTACACTGAGTAATGTCATGAAATTGTATTGCTTATTTGTTGCTTGATTTTTTTATTTATTTATTTATTTTCATCAGTAGCCCATTACTACACCTGTGCACTATTGGACCTTTAAAAACACAGAAAAAAAAGGAGGCAGAATAAACAGGCTATTACATCAGTCAGCTGACTGCTGCTTCTTATGAATATGCATCTGGCTGGTTATGGGGCTCTGAAGGCAGATAATTGATTAGACAGGAAGGCAACATGGGGAGAGCAGCTCCAAGAGGCTGCGCAGTCCTTCCCTCGGCTGAGTTAAGGTTTGTTTAAAGCAGATCCTAAATCTAGGGAGAATAACGGCGGCAGCGAGCAGCGCTTTTCATCCGCCTCTGCTGCCCTGAGAGCCAGACATGAAAAACAATAGAGCTCGTTGACCGTCAGAGTGGAGGAATGTGTGACAGGCGATTTTTTTTTTTCAATTTAAAATGAATTTAGACCGATATGAAAATAAAATAAAAATGTTTGAATACATTATATATGAGTTACATGTCAACAGAAGTAACGTTTGCTTTTAACTGCAGACCTAAAAGTTAGAGGATCAGCGCGTGTGAAAATAAAATAAAAACAGTTGACAGTTTATTTTGGTAAGTAAAATAAAAAAAAAAGATTTTGCATAGCCAGACTTTCATGTCTTCCTTTTTTTTTAGTTTAGATAGAAATATCAGTGGGAAAAAATGTGTTTGATAAAGTTTTTCTGTAAAAGTTGAATTTTAAATTCAAAAGCAACTTCAAGATAATTTTCCAAACTAAAATGAAAAAAAAAAACTCATGCGATCAGGTGTTTTTTTCGAAAATGAAAGTATTCTGCGGATTTACTGATTTAAATAGTGACTAGAAAATGGAGTTGTTTTTTTTTTCGATTTTTTTGGCGAAAATAAAAAGTCCACATTTTTTAAAGCAACAACGAATTTAAATGCAAAACGCATCTACACGTAAAACCTTTACCCCTGCGTGGCAAATAAACGTCACAAAAACGTTTGTAAAATGAAAAAACAAAAACGCTCAAAACTGTTTGGGATAGTGAAAAACGTATGAAAATAAAATGTAACTATCGAAATTTATTTCGCACGTAGATAAAAAAAAATTGAATGTAACTTTAACACAGTAAAGAATCTCAATGTGTGCGTGTGCTGCTGAATATGGCCAACTGCATGTGACTGTAGAGGGAGCTCCAACACTAAGTTTACATAACTTCCTATGCAGAGGACTCTCTCTCTGTGTCTCTCTCTCAGTCTCTCTCTCGCTCACACACACACACACAGGCGAACGATCTCATCACCGGGAAACAAAATAAATGATGGTATCATTAGTTATACAGCGACAATATATTACAATTATACCAAAGAGCAGCAGTAGCTGAGGAAAATGTATGATACACGCGCGGAGCCACAGCCTTACAAATTGAGCATGATGGGAGCTGGGAGTCGCATTGCCCGGGTAAAATCCATCTTTTACAACTAGCTATGGTAGTCAAGAAAAATGATCCCAAATATCACAATACAGCATGGTCTTTAGGAGGAGAATAAATAAAAAAGAATTATTCATTTTTACTGCGGTCGCTACACCTCTGTAGGGATAATTCCACAACCCGAATATTAGAGTGTACTGCAATACTGGATAATTAACCCCACGTCCCTGCACCCAGTGTCATGATTTTCTCACACACACGCAAAAAAAAAGCACAACAAATTTAATCCCCAAAATAAAAATAAAAATTCCCAGAATTGTCTTCAAGTTGCAGCAGTTCATTTATTAGCCAAAATATAGACTTTCTTGTACAATTTTAGTTCACAAGTATGTACATATTCTTAACTTTATATACAAAACATTTGAACATCAAATCCTCACAGAAATTACAAAAAGAAAAAAAGAAAACCCACAGACTACAGGTTCATACATTATTACATTAGCAGTTTTACACAGGACATGCTTACAATGTAAGTATACAGAGATGCATTATTCTTATTTTACATTCCATATTCAAATAAAAATAACATTAAAATAAAGAAGAAAGATGGGAGAAGGTGTAAGAAGAGCCATCGCTGCTAAGTTGGTTTTTAGGCCTGAAATATACAGTTATGAACTGGTGGTGATTTATCAAAAAACATATAAAGGATGCAATTAAAATAATTAAAAAAACCTAAGAAATAAATCAAAGGGGTGATTATTTCTTTCAAACCAGCCTTTAGTGAATTTGCATTGAGCTCATTTACGTGGGTAAACCAGTGTAACGTATACAGGCCTTGGCAAAATAACGCAAACTCACACAGAGGAACTAAATATGAAAAAACAAAACAACAACTGTGACTAAATATAAACGGAGCCAGCAACGTCTTTTAAAATAAAAACATTTGTGGCACACAAAAAATAAAATTCACCTTTGCTATTAATAGCTTTAGTATTTTAAAAAAGAAAACAAAGTGGGTGGATATTTGTTTTGACAACTTCTCTCCTGCAGCCAAAGGCACTGTTAGACCTCTATGAAACTGTGGCAACGAGAATTAAAATGTGCTCAGTGAATAATGAGGGCTGATTCTGAAGTTCACTGAATTTACTGTTGCTTCAATGAGGCTGAGGGTTCTGTGTAAACTGTAAAACAGTGGGTGTTTATTAAAAAAAAATCACCCAAGACAAAAAAGAGGAAGGGGAAATAAGTGGACAGTAATGAAGAACAACGGTCTTTCAAATTTATATATATATATATATATATATATATATTTAAATGCTTTCTGGTTTTAAAAAAGCAACACATTCACACTCTCACTTGCGCGCGCACACACACACGTGTAAATATAGGGTGAAAATAAATCCATAAGGAGAACCAAAAAAAAGAAAAGAAAAGAAAAGAAATAAGATCTTAAAAAATAGAAATTAATTGGAGGTCAAAGGGACTAGTGTCTCTGTTTTGGAGTGAGTTTTTTTTTTCTTTTTTTCTATACACACACACCTCTCAGTGTCGGCCACATGTACCTGTTACTGCAGTCTCTGAACTATGACTCTTGTCCTCCGCCTGCCTGCTGCTGCTGTACAGGGCCAGGCCGGTGGCTGTGGCCTGGTTTGCCAGTCCAAGATAATGGTTCGAATTCAGTAAAGCCAGCTGGTGCGCTGAGAAGGCCCGGTTCGTCCAGTTCTGGATTTTCCCAACGGGACAAGAAGAGATGAGTCTGTGAGGGGCAAGGATGGTCTGGGCAGCCGGCCCTGCCGAGTTGCTGCCGTTCATCTGTGGCGATTTGCGCGGATTGTCAGGGGCCGTGGCTGTCTCTGCCAAAGACCAGATCTTTGGCTTCTGGGCCGGGGCAGGGTTGTTTTCTGAGGGAGGCGAGCTAACAGCGGAGCCCGTGTTCAGTTTGAGCTGCTCCCCGTTGGGTTGGGGCACTTTCATGTCCAAAGCAGAGTGGTGGTGGTGATGGTGGTTATGGTGACTGTGGAAGTGCTCTCCTCCTCTCTCCAACTCCTTGCCCTCCTTCCCCTGTACAGACTTCAGAAACCTCTGCTCCGGCCCTTGTAAATCCTCATAGCCGTCAGAAATCTCAGAGTCACTCCTGCCGTCGAGTTTAATGTCTGAATGCAGGTCGTCCTGGTCGTCCAGGTCGTCCTTGCTCTCAATATTCTCCGTGTCGATGTTCTCCAAGTCGATCTCCTCCTCGTCCTCCCTCTTGTCCCCCTCCTCACCCTCGTGATCGCTGCCGTAAACATTCCCCTCTTCGTCGGTGCGGTTCCTGGGGGCCCAGGTCATCTTGTTCTCCTTCTTTAACCTCCTCCTGGCGTTGGCGAACCAGGTGGAGACCTGGGTGAGGGTCATTTTGGTGATGATGGCCAGCATGATTTTCTCGCCCTTAGTTGGATAAGGGTTTTTGCGGTGCTCGCTGAGCCAGGCCTTCAGGGTGCTGGTGCTCTCCCTGGTGGCGTTTTTGGGTCTGGACGGGTCACCGAAGTGATACTGACCATATGGGTAGAAAGCGGGGTGATGATGGGAAAACCCTGGGTGCTGGACACCGGGACTGTCCTTCAGTTCATACTGAGCACCCTGCAGAGACAAGGAATCACAGAGGACAGGAAAACATTAGAATTATAATATAAACACCACAAAGTAGTTTTCGTTTGAAATTAAACACAAAAAACAGGATTCACCTGAGCTGACTGACACAGATCAGGACTTAACCGAAGTGTAAACAAATAAAAAAAACTTAAATTATTTGAAGATATTCCTACAATTTAAATTCTTAATTATGTTTTTTTTTT